ATTAGTCTTTCCCTCCTGCCCGGAGATGATGCTTGGCTCCTGGAGGGGTTATGAAGTTGGGAGGCTTCCCCTCGGTGAAGGCGCCCGCCCTGAGGGGAGGGTTTGACCGGCTTGGGAGCAGGGTGCCGAGGTGGGAGCTGTGGTTGGTTCAGAGGCAGTTGGGGGAACTGCTGTTGGTAGTGATGCTGGGAAATGTGGTGTAGTGCTTGCTACTGATGGAGCTGATGTTGCTGAACTACTGCATTTGGGCTTGCATTGCCTGCATGCACTGCATCAAGTCATCAAGCTGGTTTTGGCTGGTTGCCAGAGGGACAGCGATTGGTTCGGCGAAAGTTGTCTCGATAGGGGGGGGAAGGGGGACATTCACAGGTGCCACCGCACTTGGTGCATTGAGGCTAGGGATTCCGTCCGTCGAGAGGGGGACGGTGAACTGTCCGATACATACAGTGGCGGGCTGAGGGTGTTCCCCTACCGCATTCAAGTCGGCATTGTGCCTGTTGCTGCTGGAGGAAGCCATGGAAGCTAAGGTTTCTTTGAGAGAGAGAGAGAGTTAAAGGTTAGGGGAGGCTTTTTGAATCTTCCCACAGACGGCACCAAATGATGATGCGTAATCCGGTCGGTCCTAGCTGCTGATCACCTTGCCTTTGGCAGAGCCGAAGATTTTTGAAACAAGGAAGAAAATGGAGACTTCCGGGGAGAAACCCGGTAGGAACACTCCGAAGCTCAAGTTAGTGCTCTTGAGAAGGCAAGGGGAATGAGGGACTTCAAGACCAGAAAGCACAAGAATCACATACCCTCATTCTTTGGGGAAAGGGGGCCTTTTATAATCACCCTGGTACACTCACTTCCATACCTGCCAGATCGGGCATCATCACCTCCGCTAGATCGGGTGTCATCATCTCTGCCAGATGCCAGTTCGGGTGTCATAACCTCTGCCAGTTGCTAGTTCGGGTGTCATAACCGCCACTGTCCTCCTTGTCAGGGCCGTCTCTGCCATGTCTGAGATGGCGGTGGCAGGTGGCCGTTGGAGGGCGGCTGTCATGTGTCGGACCCCTAATCAGTCAGGCGCGCCTCCGTGTACGGGCTTCCTGGGCGTCAGGTACGGTTGTTCAGTCAGGCGACTTGGAGCCGAAGTGGTGTGCGAGGTGAAGTCTTGGGTTCGGATAGAAGTGGCCCGAACTGCCCCGGGGTGGGTCAGCTCAGGCTTTTGCCCTTTGTTCTCCTTGTAAGGCTTAGGACCTCCAAGGGAGAGCTCGGGTCGTGGGTTCCTTTTTTGGGGGAGCTCGGGACTCCTTTTCTCGGAGCTCGGGTTGTGGGTTCCTTTGCCGTGTTGAGCTGGTGCTTCTGCCAGGTCACTCTCGGTTGCTTCCACATGTCGCGTGGCCAAGGGGTTGGGCCAAATCTTCCTCCATCAGATACCAAATCTAGCATGCTTCGGGTCCTGTATTTCTTTTCCTGCCCATGACTAAAGTTTCTTGGACTGGTAGCCAGGGCATACCAGAGGTGGTTAAATGCTAAACACCTTTTACACAACCACGAACGTTCTTTTGTACAATTAATAAAATTTACGGTTAATAATCAAATTAGGTGGTTTTCTATTCACTATAGAGTATAGACTATCACGATAAATTTAGTACTTTCTTTTACATGGGTTGGAGATACCTTGTTGGAAATGTGCATATGCTTTTGTGGTATATTGGGTACTTTGTTCTCTTATTGAAATGCTGGATTGGCTTCCTGCAAAATTCATTATATATCAGCTATTTTCAGAACTCTTTCTATTTTATCTTATTGATTGTTATTTGACTGTGTGAATGTGTTTCTATAAGAAATTCATTCATGTATGAGTTGGTGTGCAGGTAATGTTTTTCTCCCTTCTATGCTCTTAAAAATTTTATGGTCCATCCCTGACATCAATCTCTCATGAATTTAAACTCAACATTTTGGGAAAACTGAAATTTAGTTTTGGTTCCTTCTGGATGGCTCTCTTTATCAGGCTGAAAGAGGTTTTGTGCTTGGGTGTAACTGCCGGAGCTTATATCCTTACACTCTTTGCAGTAGGTTCAGCTTTCCATAATTCAGCTGTCCTTTTAGTATTTCTTATCTTGCATTATTGGTTTGATAATTATCTTCTTTTTGATGCAGACAAAATATAAGGAACGTGTGCTTGGTTTAATCCTTGTTAGCCCACTTTGCAAGGCACCTTCATGGACGGAGTGGCTTTACAACAAGGTTTTATCTTCGTAATCAATTAATTTTATACTTGGAAAACAGGGAGTATAATATGGTTTAGCAGCTAACATGGAAAGCAGGACCTTGCTTCTTTACCAACATTTGGTGAATGCATCTTCTCCTCCCATGCTTTTGCCATCAATGTTACACCTTTTGGATGGGTAGTCTAACAAATTGCAAAACAGGGTGGTCTTGTTTTTATGATGCATCACTTCCTGTTGTCCAGCTAATTAAAATGTGAAGTAATCTACAGTGTTAATTTAGTCGATGATTAGGGTCATGCCAGTTTGGCCTATTGCTGGTCGAAGAGGTGATTCATCAATAACCCTACCCATACAGCAGGTGATGATGCATGGAAGGAGTCAAGTCTGCTTCACCAATGGTGGGTTTATGCTACTGCATAATATTTATTTCCTTCAGAGCAAAAGGTTATCCTTGCTGTTTTAACATGAAATTTGATATTTGAAATGAAAAATAAATAAAATATTTGCACCTTGTAGGTGATACTGAACTTGCTCTACTTCTATGGTATGTGTGGTTTAGTGAAAAATTCCCTTCTTCAGCGTTACTTTAGTAAGGTACTTTTCCTAGCTTGAATTTTAGGTTGCTTGGCTGAATTCATGTTCTTATTTAGTATATTTTTTGGTTTTTCATCACCTCAGGAAGTTAGATCTGGTCTGCATGGTATTGAATCTGACATCGTACATGCTTGCCGTAGGGTAAGGAACAAATTGATTCCTAAATTTTACAGACCAGGATATATAGCACAGATAATTTACATGATAGTAGGGTGGTGCTTGGGGGTTTTCAGAATTCATTGGAATAATTGTAAATTTTAGGTGATATGCTGATATTTGTGATAATTGAAAATATTGATGGTGCGGGTGTGCAAGGTGGAAGTCATTGAAACGATTGCTTGATCCTGATGTGCACAGCTGTTTCATTTATTTCAACTTTTTGAAAGGACAAATTGGAACCTCGAGTATGGCTAAAATCAGGTTTTTGTACTTTTCTGTTATGTGTGCACAGTTACTGGCCGAAAGACAGAGCTCAAATGTCATGCGCTTTCTTCAAGCTATTAATGAGTAAGCTCTTGCACCTTTCCACTTGATTGAATTGTAGTTTGGCAGGGAAAAGCTTCGATCTCCTGCTAAAGTTGTTAAGTTCCCAGTATCTGACATGTTGACCCTAATAATTGTGATACAAACAAACGCATTGATAACATGTGATGCATAAATTATATGCTTTACCACTTCATTTATCAAAAAAAAAAAAGTTTTACCATTTCTGATCTAGTTCACAAGGACTTGGCAAAAGCTTTATTCCAGCTATCAATCTGATACTCTGTCCTCTTTCTGTATCTGGAATTGGGAATGGAAATGCAAGACAATGCTGGTGTAATTATCATCCCTGATCAAAATGGTAAATAGCAATTGATGTTGTGGGATTGAGCAAGCCAGCAAGGCCAATACCTAGATCTACCTTACCAACATCTGGTGTCCTTATTGCCCTAGGGACACAATGAGTAATCATTATAAAAAAATAGTAACAAGACTACAAGTGAGTAATCATTATAAAAAAATAGTAACAAGACTACAAGCTTAAGCTAGCAATATATGAATAATATAGCAATGGAGGAGTAGCATGACTAATCAATGTGAATGAACAATGCCAAGCTAACATTACCTCCATGCAATTAACAAAATAACAATAATAAGAAGATTATGGGTTTAAGCTATCTACACCCTATAAGTTCTCCTTTACAAATAGCCTATTCTATCATCTCTCCTTTGGTACAGTCAAATATTTATCCTCCTTTATAGAACATTGCATGTATGGGGTAATTAATCTAAATAACATTTATATTAGTTAGATTTGCAGCAATCATACAATAGGAAAGAGACAGATACCTAGGGCATAAGTGTATAGTATTGTGCTTTTGTTATCTCTTCTTGGTTTTACCTGCACGTCAACTCACAGGGGGATTTGAATTCAACATTTGATCCCATCTCTCTTTCCAATGCCTATGGACTAATCGAATGCGTATTTACAGGAGACCTGATCTCACAGAGCAGTTGAAGAAGCTGCGATGTAAAACACTCATTTTTGTTGGTGAAAGTAGTCCTTTCCAATCTGATGCTATTCACATGAAAGCCGAAATGGACAGGAGTGCTCTTGTAGAGGTAAGCTGCCTCACTTCCCTTTCTTTATCTTCTTTCAAGTTTCAACTAGACCATCTGGCTTGTAAAGCAATTGATTCTTAAAGGTGCAATTCCTACAATTCTTTTTAGGGGGATCATGTGTATAGCATGAAGTGGTTGGCTTTTTAATCTATATTTTCTTTTATACAACTTAACTAAGCCTTGTCTGAACTATTTGGGTTGCTACAGTAATCTACTTTTTTCAATTCCACTCGATCAAGGAAGGGGCAAAACTTTTGTTTGTGAATAGTTAACCCTTTTTGTTTCTTTATGGCCTTTCTGTAGATCCTTTTGAACCCTCAACTTACATCAGATTACATAGGTGCGCACCAGTAGTCCTTTTGTTGACATCACAAAACCATGTTATGTTCTTTTTATACCCATACACTTGTTTCTGCCACATGGAAAGATGACATGGCTGATTTGAACTATTCATCATCTTGGGCACCCTCTATACATGTCATGTTTTAATTCCTGTCATGTTATCCACATACATCTTGTATTTGGTATTTTCCCTAGTTGTTTTTGACAGTCATCAAGGTTTTGTCCTTTTTATTTAAAAACTTCTTTTATACGAGGGATTTTCTTGGGGATATGTCGCGAGGGCTTTCAAGTTGAAAGTTTCCCCATGAATCAATGTGGCCTAAAAATCTTATTTTACCACATTGAGATTGCTAGGTTGTTTTTTCCAATCGACTTCACTAGTGAAACATGGCATGACTTTACTTCTAAAAAAGTTGATTTTTTTGCAAGTGATGGGACAATAAATGATCAACATAATATGGAATCCTTTACCCATTGTCAGTTGGTCTCACCAAACATGGGTTGAAGTCTGAAAAGCAGCCACTTTGTGGAAAATAGGTTAGGTCTGTAAATCCACCCCTCCCAAGACCCCCTGGATGGTTGGGACCAAACATTGCATCATGGTGTTTTAGATGATAAGGATATTAATAACCAAGTGGTGATGATGATTAACAATCCAAAAAATAAATACACAAGTGATATTTCTACAAGCATGTTTTCATTCAATCAGGATTATCCTACTAATTGAAGTGCTCATGGTTTCATCAATCTGATCACCAGTTTCTTGGAATCCTTACCTCCATAAGCTTTCTGATTTAGTTTGGCTCCAAAAATTGTTTGGACCAGAATCCAGAAACTTGTGGGATTGGGGCAACTTCAAAATTTGAAGTGCTTTTGAAAATTTTGGGAGAAAGTGCCACCTGAATTCCACAGAATTCAGTTTGAAGTGTAATTTAGGCTCAGTTTGGAATACAAATACAAATATGTAGAGTGCAAAGCCTTGTGTTTTGTATTATTTTGTATGTATCTGTACTGTACATATTTGTATTTGCACTCCTTCCAAACTGAGCCTTAATTTCATTTTTTCCTAGATTCCATGGTGTTACCCAAAAATAGCAAGGATCCTTTGGATGCTTGTAAACATATTACCCCCCTCTTTTACAAATGAAATTTATGCTATGGTCCTCTAAAGAAGAGAAGCAGGGATCTACATGTAGTGATACTTATGGCATATTGTGCAGGTTGAAGCCTGTGGCTCGTTGGTAACAGAGGAGCACCCATATGCCATGCTCGTCCCCATTGAATTCTTTCTGATGGGTTTTGGATACCATAGGCAGCTCCCTCCTGCATCATTGCCAAATCAAGGCTCAAATCCTGCCAGCCCCTCCTGTCATTCGTACATAGCTCCAGAGCTTCTTTCTCCAGAGAGCCTGGGAATCAAACTCAAGCCTATTAAGACCCGTGTTACAATTGAAGTTTGATGTAGAAAAGAAGGCTGTTTCTGATGACACGCCATTGGTTCATGTTAGTACAGGTATAGAGAAAAATCTGCACATATACTCGTTCATATTGGGTAAAAAACGTGTTTAGGACATTGATTTGTGGGAGGTGTTTGTGCCTTGTGTAAATAGCGGGGGAAATGGAATGAAAAATGATATCACATGTTGATTGTAGAGAGTAGGGTTTTTTTTTTTCATTTTTGATGAAATCAGAAGGGTAAATCATGTATGGCTTCTATTCATTTTGTATCCATAACCTTGTAACTTCGAACAACTGAAATAACCCTGAAGATTGAATCTCTATATGGTTGTTGCAACTCAGTTTCTACTGTTTTTTCAATCAATATATATGGTGCGGATTCAATGTCGCAAGAACATTCATTCCAATTATTTGATGACAAAGCAGGATTCCATTGAACAGAAGTAAAATCGAATCACTAGCTAAAATTTACGTGCCAGGTGGGGAGGCCATTATGTCAGTAAACTTACAAGAGAGACTTGAATCAGCCAAAAAAAAAAGACAAAAAAAAAAAAGCCAACTTGAAGGTTGACCAAATTTTTTCATTTTCTTTAGCTCAGCATGAAGTAAAGGGAGTTACTGATTTCCAAACCAGGGGAGTGGTGTTTGAGATAATTAGCTTTCCAAAGATTTACCCAAAGTTTGTGGTCATTCAACAGGAAAGCTCAAGCCACTTTCTTTAACATTGCATTATTAATAGTGATTGAATATCCAAAGCCTAATCTCGCATAAAATTATTGGTTGACAAAATTTGTCCAAGCACACCACTGAGGAAATTTGACAATGGATATCACCATCGGTGATTTGTGACCATCAGTGGTTGTGACTTGTTAATTGTTATGGCGGATATAATATATCACCATCCTGTGACTTTGTGATCATCTGAAAACTATGAGGATCGTGAATTGACCAACAACCTCAACAAAATACACCCAGAAAATCTGAACTCCAAAACCCGAGCCCTGATTTTCTACTTTCCCATCCACTCTCTATCTGCCATGAATTGGAGCCACCTAGAAAATCTAAACTCCAAAACCCGAGCCCTGATTTTCTACTTTTCTACCCACTCTCTACCTGCCCTGCCGTGAATTGGAGCCACACATCTCTTAATTCATAATAGAGATGTGTGGCAGCAATTCACGGTGGATAGAGAATGGATAGGAAATCCCAAATGTCCAAAACCCTTTCTAGTTTCCAAAACAATCGCTGACCTGCCACCCATTTGACCGAGTCAAGAAGGGTTAGTAAGGTTACCGCTTCCTAGAATTTTCATGAAGTAACCAAATTCCTTGGTAGAGTTCATTACAGAAGGAACAACTAACAAGTTTTGATTTCATATTACTTGTAGTTGTAGAGAGAAAGAGAGAGGAAAGAAAAAACGAACTTGATGTCCCAGTCACGAGATGAATCTTATCTCCCCAACTCCCTTCTAGCTCCATTCGACTACTCTTTCCTTGATGTCCCAGGTTACCAGTCTTCTCTCCGTGCTTAAATCTTAACTGATCTGCTCCCCTTCTACCTGTGGCTTGTAGTTAGTTGTAATGGCCGCTGCTCCTTCTCTACCCTTTTTATTTATTTAAATAGTAATTTTTTAATGTTTTTATCAATAAAATAAAATATTTTTTATTTTTAATTATTTTACTATCATTTTTATAATTTATCGATGCACTTTTTCAATATATTTATCATATAAAATGCAAAATTTGACATTTATGACCAACTATGTAGATTCTTCATAAAATGTATTGAGATGCATTGAATCAAAAAATGTGGTGTGGACTATAGAACGACACTGTCTGTGTGAACTAGTCTATTCATAATTCAGAACAGTTATGGATTGTAGTATGTTTGTACTTGTTACTGTTGTGGTTGTGTTTTTTTTTAGAAGCCCTGAGGCAATTTCATTCAACAATCTTTAGTAACCAATAACCTAACAAAGTGGGGTGACTGACCAAATCATGGAAAGATTATGCGATAGGGCATGTTTAACTAGCTCGTGGGGCTAGTTGGTTACATAAACAAAGATCTATGATTTACATGAACTGAATTAAAGTCAAGGAGTCCTTTCTGCATTCTATGATGGTTGAGTGGATTCTCCAGGGTGGATCTGAATATGAAGAATTAAAGTGAATCCACCCCCTCTTTCGCGTCACTCTCTAAAAAAATGTAGTCCATCTCCATGGTCTTGGCCAATAGTAGCCCCTCTGAAATATCTCGAGCCTCAGCTTCCATCGGGGAGCTACACCTAACAACCAGGCACCATTGGTGTTGACCTTGACCCAGTGAAAATACTGATCATCTCTCATCCAAGGGTCAAATTTTAAAATAAATATTTTATGATGAATTGGCATTATTATATATAGATTATTTCTAAAAGCATAGAACCTAGGAAAAAAAAACTCTATTTTGTAGGTAGGATTTATGGGTATATGGTAGTGTATACCTATCTATTCTACTATATATTGCAATTCACTATAATATGAATCCAGATTTACTCCTAAGACTCACCTCAAAGCATTTGATGCCAGTCATGGATTGGGAATATCTCCTCATAAATGAAAATATACAATTGTAAATGCAAGAAATTTACCTGATGTATGGATACATGCTTTGAGGTGGGTGTGACGAGGATTCTATGAGGAAATATGAAATATATCTCTACACTGCCAGGTAGGATGCCAACTAAGAGTCAGGTCATTCTATGTTTCCCCAACAGCCCTTGGTTTATGTTTCTAGAAAAAAATGTTTTATGACTGTTTTAATTAAAAACAATCATTTACATTTCAACTAAAAACGCTTAGGTGGTGTTGGCGTGGCAGTGTTTCAAGTAGAAATAGTCATGGTATTAAACATCACCATAGTTAGGGGTGTCAATTGGATTGGATTTGGTTCAATCCCATCCAGTCCAATGTATGTCCATTAAAATGGACCAGGTCCAATCCATTCCAATGAATGTTTTGGACCAGTCCAATTCAATGTTTGGACCGTCCAATCTGTTCAAATTCATTTTGATTTAGATTGGTTTCAACCCAAACCCGGTCCATTGAGACATATATTCTTATCTTATATCAATGAATCAGATATTGACTTAATCCAACCCAATCCAATATAAATTTATTACAAACAGACCATGTCTAATCCAATCTAATAAATATTTTGGACCGGATTGGTCCAATCCAATATCTTGTTGGTCTGTCCAATTGGTCCAAATTGATTTCGGACCGGATGGGATCCAATCCAAAACCGGTCCATTGACACCCTTAACCATGGTTGCATGTATGGGTGATAACAATCTTATAAAATTAAGTACTAAATTTTGGTTACGTCTTTCGTTTTCTGTGTCATTCAACAGACATATTAATTGAAAAATATCAATTCTCTTTATTAAAACATTAAATTTTCTCTCAAATTAAACATGCCAAATCATCATAACTAAGAGATATATAAACGTGTATTAAATATATTGATTTCAATATTTTAAAAAATAAAATCAATGCAATAAATAGTTAATGGAGCAATTTTGTATCAATTAGCAACCAAAAAAGGCTATAAGTTTATACCAAAATCATTAAAAAAAAAAAGAAAGTAAAAGAAATAGAACAAGGGAGGGATTAATAAATTTTACACTACCTTAGGGTACCGGCATTGTCATTTTCGTCACATAGGTAAGCGCTTGATTACTTAGATAGGCGCCTTTTTGGATTCAAGTCAAGCCGCCTAGCTTAGGGCTTGCTTTGAAAACTATTGATTGCTTGTTGTAAAAGGTAAGTCCCAAAAGTTCTTAGATAAGCCTGATTGTAACATAGCTACATCAAAGGCCTAAATTTCCTAACATCTCCATTTGTACAACATATAAGACATCTCAACCAAGTGGACTCGCCAAGTCAAGGTCATGGACCAGCACCAATAACAAATGTTAGCCAATCTTTCCAAATTAAAACAAATCAAGTCTAAGTGCATTATTGCATGTCCCCGAGATCACTTTTCCACAATCTAGAATACAACTAAAAAACACCTGTATCGAGTGTATTCAAATGTCTAAATTATTTTAAAATTTTAATACGATATGCCCTATATATCATAAAATATATTGGTACCAAACAAAGAAGTGTTGTTTTTTTCGAAAACAACTTATGTGATAGTACCGGTTCCAAAGAAAAAATAAACACCGTTTTAACATATTCAATACCGTTTTCTCAAAAAAAAAGTACAATATTCCTAACACAAATGCCAAACACCTACCAAATGAGTAGATTTTGGATTACTCAGCTAATTCATGAAGTAACTCACCCAAGTAGTGGAGCTACTGATTTGCAAATGAGGGGATCCTGTGATTTACGAAAAAGAAACAAGTTGTTGTGTTGTTTGAGATAACTGGCTTTCCAAAGATTTATCCAAAAGTTTGTGGTCACAGGTTCATTCAACAGTAAAGTCCAAGCCACTTTCTTTAACAATGGATTATTTAATAGTGGCTGAATATACAAAGCTTAATCCCGGATAAAATTTTTTGTTGACAAAGGAAGAATCGGTTTTTGGTTCACTCTCACAAACCGTCTTGATCAATGGAAGAATCTCCACCTGTCATCTGAATAGACAGAGAATCGTGAATTGACCAAACAATCTCAACAAATACACCTTGAAAGTCTGCAACCTTTCTTAGTTTCCAAAACTATCGCCGGCCTGTCACGTCTACAAGGGTTAGCAAGGTTAACGCTTCCTGGAATTTTCGTGGAACAACCAAAGCACTTGGTAGATCCCATTATTGTTAGAGAATATCAATTTATTCAAGAACCTCACCAATTTCACAAAACCACTACAGTGCCCAATTTCACTCTCTTTTTCTCATCAAAAGAAGAATTTCTTAAATCTGAAGTTTAGAGTGGTTGCAAGGTTTAGGTAAAACTGAAACCATTTTCAATATTTTATTACTTATTTATTTACATTAATTTGAACTATTTTTTCTTAATTTGTTAATATCTTTTTTATTTCAACTTTTATCTATATGAGTAGAAAGAAAGATGGAACCCCTTATATAAATGTTTAAAGTTGTTTTGTGGATATTACATGACAATGGATGGTTATTTTTTCATAAATATTATAGGTTCTAGGTTGATTTTTTGTTGATATAGAAGAATTGGTTTATTAAAATTATCAGTTTTAGCATACTAATGACCAATTGAAACTTGCAAATTATAAGGTATAATTATTTAATTCTTTTATCTAGAAGCTTTTATCTTGATATTAAGTTTAAAGTTTTTCACAAGTTACTATAGTCTCCGCAACAAGTGAAAAAAAGTACCACTGGTATGAACTATGAAGTAGGGGTGATCATGGGCCGGGCCCGGGCTTATATTTTTAGACACTAGGCCCGAGCCTAGCCTAAGTTCGCTCAGCCCATGATCACCCCTACTTCAAACCCAATGAACTCTCATGTGAGGGAGCGTGTTAGAGACTTATCAAAATTCAAGGACCTCCCCTAACACCTTAAAAGCTTTTAAGGTTCAATGGATCTTTCAGAATTACTAACAAGTTTTGATTTCATATTAGTTGGAGAGAGAGAAGAAGAAGAAAAAAGGAACTTTGAGGTCCCAAGTCAAAACACGATATGAATCTAATATCCTTCCAGCTCTGTTCGACTATTCCAAGGAGTTTCACATATTTCCTTGGTGATTAAATCTTAACTGAATGCTCCCCTCCACCTGTGCCTTGTAGTAGATAGTTGTAATGGCCGCTGATCCAACACCCCCTGTTTGCTTTCTTCTATTGCTACTACTTATAGTTTCCTACCCACATGGCTCCCATGCTCAAACCACCTCGTCAAACATTACCTTGGGCTCCAGCATCACAACTGTAAACGAGTCCTTTTGGGCTTCACCCTCGGGAGATTTCGCATTTGGGTTCTATTCCCTCTCCACTGGTCTCTTCCTCGTGGGGATATGGTTCGACAAGATCCCAAAGAAAACGCTTGTGTGGTCGGCAAACCGCAACCACTTAGCTCCAGCTGGTTCTGTAGTGGCGCTCACGCTTACCGGAAACCTTGTTCTTAGTTACCCAAATGGAACCATATATTCCATCTACAACGGCACCGCTGCACGGTCGGCGTCCATGGAAAATGATGGGAATTTTGTCCTGAGAAACTCCACCTCACAAGTTATCTGGCAGAGCTTTAGTTTTCCGACCGACACTCTCTTACCGGGCCAAGTTCTAGTTATGGGACAGAAGCTGTATTCCAATGCAAATGGGACTTTCGACTACTCGGCAGGAAAATACATGTTAGAGATGCAGTCAGACGGCAATGTCGTGCTCTCAGCATACCAATTTGCAGATCCTGGTTATTGGGATGCTCAAACTATTTACATGAAGAATGTAACTCTGATTTTCAGCCAGGAGGATGCAGCCATTCGCCTTGATAATACGACTGGACTTCTCAAATACTTGACAACAAATGCTGTACCCAGTCCTATCCAAAATTACTACCACAGAGCAACACTTGACGGTGATGGAAATTTCCGGCTATACGTTCTCCAGAAAGGATCAAGCGATCAGTGGAAACCGGTGTGGAAACTATTTGTAGAGCCTTGTCGTGTGAACAGTGTATGTGGGATGTATGGGTTCTGCACATCGCCGGATAACAACACGGCGTCCTGCGAGTGCCTCCCGGGTTATTCTCCCCTGGACCCCAGCTTTCCTTCCAAAGGATGCTACATGGAAGACGTGCCGGAAAGCTGTGGTGGGCATCCATCTATGGTGGACGTTACAGTGTTAGAAGACGCTGATATTCCAAATTCAAATGACTTCACAGACTATGTAAGACTTTTTTCTGCAACTGAGGAAAGCTGCAAGAAGGCAGTCATGGGTGATTGTTACTGCATGGCTGCGACCTTGGTGAATTCCGTTTGTTACATGAAGAGGACCCCTTTGTTGAATGCAAGAAGAAACCTCCCTCATACTACCGGAAGTAAAGCCTTCATCAAGGTTCCTGTAAGGGTTACTATTCCAGATGTTGATCAAGATGGAAACAACTGGTCTCGGGCTTCCCTCCATACTGGGATCATAACATGCGCCACACTTGTTTTACTGTTCGCACTCGTTGCCATCTACTATCACCCATTAACCCAGAGACGTAACAGACGAAAGAATCCCTCAGCCAAGGCGAAGCAGCTGGACATTAATTTGAGGGCATTCTCGTTCCAAGAACTCCATGAGGCAACAAATGAGTTCACCGACGAACTGGGCCGAGGTGCTTTCGGCACAGTCTACAGCGGGATCTTAAGAATAGATAATAAGCTGATTGAGGTTGCAGTGAAGCAGCTGGACACGGTGGACGAACAACGCAGTAAAGAGTTCGTAACAGAGCTAAGAATAATCGGCCGGACCCATCACAAGAATCTGGTTCGGCTATTGGGCTATTGTGAAGAAAACAACCACTGCCTTTTGGTTTATGAATTGATGAGGAACGGGACTCTGTCTAGCTTCTTGTTCAAGGAGGACAAGAGACCCAACTGGGATCAGAGGGCTGAAATAGCACTGGGCGTTGCACGAGGCCTGCACTACTTGCACGAAGGATGCGACACCCAGATCATCCACTGTGATATAAAGCCCCAAAATGTGCTACTTGATAAAAATTACATTCCTAAGATTGCAGACTTTGGGCTTTCAAAGCTTCTGAGGAAGGACCAAACTCGAACCAGCACCAACGTCAGAGGAACGATGGGATACATGGCACCGGAATGGCTCAAGAATGCGCCAATAACAACCAAAGTGGACGTCTACAGCTTTGGAGTGGTGCTACTTGAGACTATTTGTTGTAGAAGGCACATGGAGTTGAATCGGATCGAGGAGGTGATTCAAGAAGGAGAAGAGCTGATTTTGACAGACTGGGTTCTAAGCTGCATGAGATCTGAGAAGTTAGAGATGATAGTGAAGCAAGACGCTGAAGTACTGAGTGATTTCAAGAGGTTTGAGAGAATGGCAATGGTGTCTATATGGTGCATTCATCCCAACCCAGCTCTTCGACCATCCATGAAGATGGTGAATCAAATGTTGGAAGGGACGATTGAAGTTGGGATTCCACCCCTGCTCATGAATCCAGAAACTTTTTAATTAAATAAATGTGACGTTGTATTCATACATTGCCTTCTAAACCAGAATATATTACAAAATGGAAAGATAGAAGCTAGAGCTATATATGTGTTTGTATCCAGGTTGATGATTCTGTGTGAGAACTAAGAATTGCTTGGTATATTAATGGTATAACTAAGAAGGGGATGGCAGAATTTAGGTTTTCTGCATAGCCTTTTTGAACCTTCCTAATCCATAATTTTCCTGAGCTGTGCTCCTTGTTCCGGCTTATAAATTAGAATACAGATTAGTCTCTTGTTGATTAATTCTACCACTCAGCCTTTCACACCAAACTTTGTTCAGTTGGTACTTACGCCGAATAGGCGTTGAACAAATGTTTTAAGCAGCGCTTTGTTTGGTCTTGATTTTGCTACCTGAAATATTAAATGAAATGTTTGAAATACCGATCCCTCATCCAATGGTCATATTTAAAATTAAATATTTTATTATAATTGGCATTATTGTACATTGATTAACATCTAGATGCAGAACGGTTCTAAAAGCATAGAACAAAAAAAAAAACCTTTATTTTGGTGGTAGGATTGGGGTTTATGGGCAATGGTAGTGTATAATGTACATCCATCGGTATAAAATTAACTAGGGCTGTTCATAAGAATGCCCAACCCGACCAAACCGACCAAGTCCTAAGTCTGTGTGTAAATCCAATGGCCAATGGAAGAAAACCCACATGGAAGGGTAAAACTGTATCTTGGTATTCTATAGGGAATTTGTCTAAAACTCACCATGAGTTTTCAGCATTTCTCTTAAACTCATCACAACTTTTCAAAATGTCTAAAATTCACCATGTCACTAACTTGACCTTTAAACAAACTAACAAGTGTTAATATATTACCATTTTAATCTTCATAGAAAAATATAAAATATATACATATGTTTTAATAATTAGACATGGAAAACAGGAAAAAGATCAAAAAACATATTTTTTCAAATATGAACTACATAGAAACACAGAAATTTCACAAAATATAAAAAATTATAGAAATTGCAAACAAAATAAAAAATTATTTTCAAATTATAGAAACTATAGAAATTGAAAAAAAAATCAGAAAATAAAAATTGTAGAAAAAACACCAAAAAATATAGAAAAACACAAGAATTGCAAATAAATTACAAAAAAAATACAGGAAAACTTATAGATTGTAGAAAATAGAAAAATGTAAAAAAAAAAAACAGAAATTATAAAAAACATTGAAAATTATAACAAAACGCTAAAAATGCAAAAAAAAAAAAAACATGAAATTTGAAAAATGAAAAGACCCTTTTCCTCTAACTCGCCGTCTAAGGGTAATTTGGTTATGAAAATTGTTATATATGCTGATGTGGACACCTCTGTTGAGAAGCACTAACGGTGCATTAACAGAAGGTAAGTTTTGAAAAATAAAAATTTACTGACACAGTAAGTTTTAGATATTTTGAAAAATTGTCGTCAATTTAAGAGAAATGCTGAAAATTCATGATGAATTTTAGACAATTTCCCTTTATTTATTTGTTATCATTTTTGTTACTTTGAGGCACTAACATGATTATTACAGCCATGAAATGGATCTTTGCCATATCAGCTTCATGTGTGCCTGATGTTGCTAAAACCCAGGTAGGTAGTTGACAAAGTAAGTTACATATCCTACCTAATAGGACACTTGGTTCTGGTCTAGCGGGCAGAATTGGTCAAGATCATGAGAAGTCCTTGGATACCACAAAAGATGTAGGCTTCTTCCAACTGGAAAAGTTCCAACTTTGGTCTAATAGACTTCACATAAAAGGAGGATCTCTTGGACATGATTTTATATAAGCAATTAAGGACTTGCACGTAAGAAGAAACTACCAAAGACTGTTCAACCGGTTCATTGAATACCTTGTAGTCTTCTACGGACCCAAGGTCCCAAGGCCACCAGCCTCTGTGAACGTGGTCCACGTGGAGAAAAAAAGGATCACATAACAGAATGGAACTCAACATCCACAACTCCTCAGTCCAGTCTATAGACTTACGCCTAACAGCCCATCTAACTATCTAAGAGTCTTAAGACAACCTTCCTAATTTCCAATTGATCCTTTCTCCGGTCCAAGCCCGCCATCGGCCTATAGCTACGCAGTGTTGACTGGTTGATTTGACTTTTTTCTTTTTTTGTGGAAGGGATAATAAATACAAAACGAAACAAAGCAAAATTACAAACAACGACCCTACTTCAAAATTACAACCAAAACATATGAGAGCGAAATCAGATAAAGGGTTTAGGACTTGTGCCAGCCTCAATTATAGAGCTGTGAATGGATTGATTGGGTCTGATTCCAAACATGGTGGATTAGCGCTTGTTCCTTTCCTCTTAACTCTTATCTTTTAAGAAAAATATTTTAACTTTAAGAGAAAAATGGTTTTTCGATTTCTCTTATCTCTTAAAGTGTAGTCATACAACTTTTTGTTTTTCAATGATACTCTCAAAAAGACAAACAAAAACTCTCATATATGGCGTCAAAATAGATATTTGATAATTTTTAGAATTCGGAACAACATTTTTTGCATTCAGAGTTCAGAGGAAAGAAAAGTTCACTAACACCAATATACCTCTTAATGTAATTATTTCACTTTTAGATATCAAACTTCAGAGCAACCAAACAGGCCCTTAATCGCAGTTTTTAATAATAACATCTATAAAATAGACCCTATTAGATTTGACATCTATATTTACTTATCAAGAGATTTTTATTAATTATATAATTGATATACAACCCATTACCAGAAAAGAAATTAATTAAGTATAAGTGTTTGAATAAAAATTGTTCTCTAATAGGTGACAAAATTCTCTCAATTAACTCATTAGGCCATGAGCATGTGTTTTCAATGAACTAATTTTGTATTTATAAAAAAATTAAAATAAAATTCAGTTGATGGTGTTTGAGTTATGGTTGAACTAGCTACGTGGTAGTCTTCGTGGCTATCTTATCTCCATAGCCACGTTGGTACCGCATAGAACAAATAAGCGTGACCAAGAAGGAGAATCCTGCACAGACAAGAAAGGTGACCCCATCAGGGATGATGATTCATCCTGAAAACATCGATAAGCAACCTCATCCCAACAACCCCAGAAGACTCATTTGATTAGGATACGGATCTTCGGCTATAAATAGATAACCTCCGCTTAGGGTAAGGGACTTTTAAATTTCAGACTTTTATTTTGCCTCTTATTTGCAAACCAACATTGTTTTCATCTGCTCGGCCAGACCACTTACCATTCGTTCTACTGACTTGAGCGTTAGAGTATCTACCCGGGCAACAACTCCTTGAGCCTCTGATCTTCTTTCATGATTCTAGATCTTGGTGCACAACTTCATCTTCCACCTCGATTTCATCATTGGAGGTTGTATGCGACCAAGGTCGTAGTAAATTCTTCTTTTAAAATGGGTAAAGTTTTGAGGTGAATGTCACACAAAAAAAAATAATTATGCAAATACAAATAAAGTGCAAAACCTTATATTTAATATTTTGTATTTATAAACATGTTTTTGCATCACACATTTGTATTTGTAATCCTTCGACCAAAAGGAGGTGAGTGATGATAATAAAGAAATCTTCCCTCTCTCTCCGTTCTTTATTACTTTCTTCTTCGTTATTCTGCAACGGTTCTGGCAATATCTTGTGCCATGTCTCTTCTTCCATTGCTACTGCTACTCCTTGTTTCTTCCGAGCATAACACCCATGCTCAGACGATAACACAAGGCGCCACCATTACTGCAGGAACCACCAATTCCTCATGGACATCGCCCTCCGGTGATTTCGCATTCGGGTTTTACCGTCTCTCCAACGGCAACTTCCTTGTTGGGATTTGGTTCGACAAAATCCCAGAAAAGACGCTTGTATGGTCTGCCAACCGTGACGCCCCGGTACCAGCGAGCTCCACTCTCAGATTAACAACAGGCACTTCCGCCGGCCATCTTATCCTTACATCCTCCGACGGAAACAGCACGTATTTATACCAAAGTACCGCTGCAAGTTCTGGTTACATGCAAGACGATGGCAACTTTGTCCTAAAAAACGCCAGTCCAAGTGTTCTTTGGCAAACATTTGATTCGCCGACGGACACTCTCCTACCGGGCCAAGTTTTGGTTGCAGGCAGAAAGCTTTATTCCAATAAAAATGGGACTGTCGACTACTCCACCGGAAACTTCATGTTGGAGATGCAGAAAGATAGTAATCTGGTGCTCTCAGCTTATCATTTCGCAGATCCTGGTTACTGGGTCTCAAACACAATAAACATTAATAATGTGAGCCTGGTTTTCAACCGGACGAATGCATTCATGTACCTCAAAAATACCACAGACATCATCCTCCCATTAACAGAGGATGTGCCAAAGCCCACGGAGGACTACTACCACAGAGTGACGCTGAACGACCATGGAAATTTGCAGCAACATGTGTACCAGAAGAACAACAGTCAATGGAAAATGGTGTGGAGAGTAATAACCGAGCCCTGCACGGTGAATGCTATTTGTGGGGTGTACGGGATTTGCTCTTCACCAGATAATGAGACAGTCAGCTGTGACTGCCTCCCGGGTTACCGCCCCTTAGATCCCAATAACATTGCTAAGGGATGCTACCCAAAGAGCAAGCCGGATCGTTGTATAGAAAAGCCATCGTTGACGAATTTCACGGTGGAAGTTATCGATGATGCAGATTTTCCTAATGCCGGTTTTGCAGATTTGGGAAGAGTAACACCAACAGACGAGGAGGGCTGCAGGAAGGCACTCATGGATGACTGTTATTGCATGGCTGCTTCATTCGTCAATTCAACTTGTTACAAGAAGAGGATGCCAATTCTGAATGCTAGAATTAGCCGCAATTCTACAAATGGGTATAAGGCGTTAATCAAAGTGCCGAAACAGATTAGTGATGGAGGAGGTATTCTGAATGGTGATCATCATGGCGGGAAGAAGTCTGTAAGTCGGGGTCTACTGAAAGCTGGTCTTTTCACAACTGCGGCGTTTGCTCTGTTGTTCGCAGCTCTTGCCGTCTACTATCACCCTGTAGTTAGACGATTCATCAGACGACCCAGAAGGCCCTCTGCAGATGTGGACGCTATGTTGATTAACCTGAGAGCTTTTACATTTGAAGAGCTGCATGAAGCAACATGTGGGTTCACAACAAGACTAGGCCGAGGATCATTTGGGATGGTTTACAGCGGGACCCTGGTCATAGAGGATAAACAGATTGAGATTGCTGTGAAGGCTCTGAAGAAGATAGCTGCTGCTGAACGAGGCGAGGAGGAGTTTGAGGCGGAGCTGAGGGCTATTGGTCGAACACATCACAGGAATCTGGTTCGCCTGTTGGGCTTCTGTAACGAGGACAAACACCGGATTTTGGTTTACGAGCTAATGAAGAATGGAACTCTCTCTAATTTGCTCTTCAAGCAAGGGGAGAAACCGAGTTGGGAGCACAGGGTGGAAATGGCGCTTGGGATTGCAAGGGGGGTGCTGTATCTGCATGAAGAATGTGAGACCCAGATCATCCACTGCGACATAAAGCCCCAGAACGTTCTACTTGATAAAAACTACACAGCAAAGATATCAGATTTTGGGCTAGCGAAGATTATGATGAAAGATCAAACTCGGACTAATACAAATGTAAGAGGGACGGCTGGATACATGGCACCAGAGTGGTTGAAGAATGCACCAGTAACAACCAAGGTCGACGTCTACAGCTTTGGGGTCATGTTGCTTGAGATCTTGTGCTGTAGAAGGCACATCGATCCGAAACGGGTAGAGGAAGAGACCGAAGAGGTCGACCTGGTGTTGACAGAATGGATTGCAGATTGTATTAAGAGTGGGAAGCTGAACATGGTGGTGGAGGAAGACATGGAGGCATTGAACGATTTCAAGAGGTTTGAGAGGATGGCCATGGTGGGACTGTGGTGCGTCCACCCCGACCCACCTCTTCGGCCATCTATGAAGAAGGTGACACAAATGTTGGAAGGGACCATCGAAGTTGGTATTCCACCTCTGCTTTATCCCGAAATGGTTTGAGATCAGTTGCATCCTGTAGCTCAAATCCAGGAAGGAATGAGAGATTTTGTACATCATGAGTTGTGGTTGTGGGCAAATTTGAACCTGCATTCTCAATTTGAGCTTGCATGGCATTTTGATGCATCTAAATTTCCATCCTAATCTGAGTTGAGCAACAGAGCGAGTCATTGGACACATATGAGACTATGCACCATGGTTTCTAATTTGTGTTTTGGGCATTTTGTTCTGATGCATATAAACACCGTCACACTCATAAGCAACAGAGAAACTCTTGGCATTTTGCATGGCACTCATAACGCACGCTATTTTAAGAATTTTGGTTTTTGGTTTCGGTTTTCAAAATTAAAAATTTGGTTAACAGAAAAAATTAAATTACAGTATATAACATTTAATATAGGGAAATTGTCTAAAATTTACCATGAGTTTTTAACATTGTGTTTTGGGCATTTTGTTCTGATGCATATAAACACCGTCACACTCATAAGCAACAGAGAAACTCTTGGCATTTTGCATGGCACTCATAACGCACGCTATTTTAAGAATTTTGGTTTTTGGTTTCGGTTTTCAAAATTAAAAATTTGGTTAACAGAAAAAATTAAATTACAGTATATAACATTTAATATAGGGAAATTGTCTAAAATTTACCATGAGTTTTTAACATTTCCCTTAAACTCACCACAACTTTTCAAAATGTCTAAAACTCACCATGTCAGTAAGTTTTTATTTTCCAAAACTCACCTTCCGTTAGTACACCGTTAATGCTTCTTAACTGAAAAAATGGTATTTTTAGTTTTCAATTTTCTTATTTTCTTGCATTCTTAGTGTTTTGTTATAATCTCCAATGTTTTTTATAATTTCTTTTTTTTTACATTTCCTATTTTCTACAATCTATAATTTTTCCTATATTTTTTGTTATTTATTTGTAATTTCTATGTTTTTCTATAACTTTTGGTGTTTTTTTTACAATTTTTATTTTCTAATTTTGTTTTTCAATTTCTATAGTTTTTATAATTTGAAAATATTTTTTTATTTTGTTTGCAATTTCAATAATTTTTTATATTTTTATGTATTTTATATTTGAAAATATTTTTTGAACTTTTTCTTTTTTTTTCATGTCTAAATATTAAAATGGTAATATAACACTCGTTGATTTGTTTTGTATATATTTTATATTTTTCTAATAAGGTTAAAATGATAATATATTAACACCCGTTAGTCTGTTTAACGTTAAATTAGTGACATGGTGAGTTTTAGACATTTTGAAAAATTGTGGTTTGTTTAAGAGGAATGCTGAAAACTCATGGCGAGTTTTAAACAATTTCCCTTTAATATATAATATATAACATATAATATATAATATGCTATACATTTGCATATTAATATATTATATATAATGTATTATAACGATATTCAGTCTTAATATCTATGTATATATAATAGCAAGACAGTCAACATCACCATGCCTCTCCTTGCTCCAAACCCCTTCCTAATTTCCTGTTTATTTTTTGAATTTTTTATTTTTTTAATTCTACATAATTACCCATTAAACCAATAAAGAAATAACATAGGCTTAATTATTTCTAACAACCATAAAGAAAAAGAGATTTGCTTTTCTAATGTTTAGCCAAGTGGCAACACCTGCCCCCACTTTCTCCTAACTGTCTCTAATTCTCATTTATCTCCTAAATCATCTCTAACTCCTATTTATCTCTTAAATTGTCTCTAATTTAGTAGAAGAGTTTCTCTCCTAAACTATTTCTAATTCCTATTTATCCTCTCCCTCACTTTTTATTTACATTTATCTAAAGAAAGTGTCAATTGAAAATTTTCAGAATTATTTAAATATTATAATGAAATTATATACCAACTTTAAAAATTTTATCCAAAAAAACAAAAATTAATTATAATGGATTTAATAATATTCATATTATTAATAATTCTATATTTTTACAACATTCATTATGATATTATGTAATAACAATATAAATCATAATTTTATGAATTATTCAATTTAAATGTTATTCAGATAATAAAATATTAACATTGAAAAATAAAACATTATTTAAATATTTCAATAACTAAATATCTTAAATAACAAAACATTAAAAACAAATAAATAATTATATAACAAAATATTTAATATCATGTAATAACTTTAAAATAAATAAAATTCAAATAATGAAATTTTTAAATGTTTTACATATTATTTAAATATTGAAATAACAAAATATTTAACATGACTAAATTTTAAATAGTTAAAATGACCAAATTATGTAATAAATTTAAAAAGTTTCTTAAAAGTAAAACAAAATAATAATTATAATAGACTTTCCCTGGTCCCCACATAAATCTGAAAAAAGAACATGGAATTTTTTGTCAATGAGAACTAAAAACCCATCGACCAACTTCCCCCTCTCAAAATCCAAAAAAAAGAATACCCCCTTAATTCTAATAATCTGATTCAATTACTGGAACCATGACCTCAGACATCATCATCATCATTCTTTTTGGGGTAGCAAGCCTAAAGCTATTACTGCAACTTTTAACAGTTCATTAGGCTGTGTTTGGTTGCAGTGCAATTTTATTTATACTAGTACAAACGCATGGAAGTGCGAATGAAAAAAAAAATGCAAATTCTCGATTAATTGTGTTTTGGGTTTTACTTCATTCTGCTTCATGTCTTAATTTACTTCACTTGTGATGCAATCAAACAAAATAAGCTAAAATTTGAAACAAGAATAGGTCAGAATTTATGCTGAAATCATTTGCACTGCCACAGTTTCGCATCAGTGCAAATTTATTTGTAGGCTTACAGCTAATTTGGCTTTTATTTATAGTAGGGTTTGGGCTGCAACTGAGCCACACAATATTCTCTCCCTTTCTCATATAAATATAACCTTTACAGTCAACCATAAAAAAGCAGTGATCTCTTCTTCAGAATACAATTACCATTCAAAAGGGCAAAAACCCAACATACAGGAACACGATAGTTCACAGAAACCAATCGTCTATACTGGATCCTCTAGTAGACATGGCAAATTAACAATGATATTGGTTTTTTTTTCATAGAATAATACCAAATCTCTTAGCATGAACACTTCCAGAAAAAATAGAAGGTTGCAAAGACAGACAAATAACTGTTTTTCGAGAAAAGGATGCCTTTACTAAAAGTTCACCTTTTATACAGCATTCATCAAGATGGCACCAAACAAAGAATCTAGACAATCTAGACAATCAGCAAAAAATAATTGCTACTTGTCAAATAACAGGAGCAGGGCTTACAATATGCAACACTATGTCCTTGTGGTTGTGGTTTACTCCACACCATTAACTTCCACTGTATGTCTCAAAAGTGGAAACCAAGAAGCCTTCTTTGATAATGTAAGCTCAGTGATAGTCATATTGCAGGAGTTGCATGGCCTGTATAAACAAATATATTGGCTATTTGGCTTCTCAACAAAGTAGAGGGTGGAGCTCTTTGGGTGCCTAGAGCCAGGTCCAAAAAAGCACAAATAACCATGAAACAACTTCATGAGGACACTAAAGAGGAAACAATGGGGTTGTAACAAAAGTGTAGATTTATCGGCCAGATCAATCAAAATTATCCTGATTGACTGTTGGGTTTGATCAATGAGGAAAAACCAATGGGTTTCCAAGTTCTTATGATTCATCTACCATCCTCTTCAGAAAAGTCAAAGACTAAAATTCATGATCACAAAGCCAAAGTTGCAAGCCTGCAAGACCATAACAGTTAAAACAGGTAGTTACAGCAATGGAACTGTACTGATAGAAAAAACTTGTAACACCTGGTTCTCAAAGATAAGATTGCAGGTTAATGAGATCAAGGACGCCAAGTATAGAGGAGGCAAAACAAAGACGAGTACAAGGCAGAGTCGGCATGAGTCACTTCAGAAGTTCAAGATAATGGCAATTGTGGGACTGTTGTTCAAGCACCCAACTAGTATTGTGGTTTATTTCTCAATGCTCATCTATACCCCAGACCCAAAAACACAGTCCTCATCCTCACATGTCACATTTACATGAATAAACGTTTTTCTATTTACTTTTTTAATAGTCCACGAATAATACACGGCAGCAAGTAGAAATGTCATATAGAATGAAAACAAGGAGGGCACATATATTTGGTGGACTAGTTCCCATCAAAGAAGACCCAAAACTTACATGAACTTCAAGTCAGGAACTAAGTAACCTGAAGGGCATTCAACAGCAATTCATGTATCTTGAACCCAGATCTTTATTGTTCTGTCCTTGTCAAGACCTGCGGAAGCAATTTTGTTCTCGGTGGGATGGCAGGTTACAGAGATGACAGTATCCGTGTGGCCTTCTAGTTTCTGGACCATATTTTTACCTTGGAGATCCCACAAGTATACACATTTATCCTCTGATCCACTAACAATGTACTTCCCATTCGTAACGGAAAATGTGGATGTTATACAGTATACTCTATTGACATGACCTGTGTAAATCTTTAGAAACCTCCCTGCGGAGTAGTTCCATAGCTTCTGCAAAAAAGGATCAAATATAAAAGGAAAAATAAGAAGTTTGGTACACCCGTTTTGAATTATAAAATTAAAATTTAGTTCATACAAATACGAAATTCTTCTAAAACTGCAAACTAAGGTTTTAGGAATAAGTACATAAACAGACTTCTTAAGAGTTAGAGTAGACAAATTTTAGATAATTAACATCAATAACACACTAATTGGATGGAGAAGAGAACTTACAAGGGTATCGTCCAGAGTGGCGACAAGTATGAATTTCCCATTCGGCGAGAATTTCGCAAACGAAACTGCGGGAACCTTATCGTCGATGAGAGTCTTCAAGCACGTACCGGTGTCGGCATCCCAAATCTTGCAGTTTCCATCGTGACTCCCGGAGACGATAATAGAGCCATCCCTGTTAAAATGGACAGAGGTAACGGGCTCTGAATGGGCCTGAATCACATGAACGCATCGACCGGTCTTAACGTCCCAAACCCTAATGGTCTCATCGAAGGATCCAGAAACAATAAGGTTAGATTGAGGGTTGAAATTGACGCAGAAGACAAAACCAGAGTGGCCACGCAGGGTCTTGACGCAGTCGCCGGTACGGGCGTCCCAGATACGGAGGGTGCGGTCGTCGGAGGCGGAGCAGATATAGTGGGAATCGGATGACCAGGCGAGGTCGGAGACGCCTTCGGAGTGCCCGATGAGGCGGGAGAGAGGGTTTAGGGTTTGGGAACACCAGACGATTAAGGTTTTGTCGAGGGAGGATGAAGCTAGGAGGGAGCCGTCGTTGGAGAACTTGACGCAGGAGACGGCTCGGGTATGGGCGGTTAGGGTTCGAACCAGTCGATAGGGTCGGTAGGGTGGTGATGGTGGAGGCTGGTTACCACCACCGCTCGCCATTCAGATATCAGAACCTCAGAGGAAACCAGCAAACCGCCCCTCAGTGGGTCTCTCTTTCCATTTTCCGACTCCAGAATTAGAGTTCAGAGCCCAGACCCAGGTCCCGAACATTATAAAACGGATGAAGCAAAATGAAACAATTATTTGTTTTCACTATTTATCAACCGTCTGTTTGGCATCATTGCTGTTGCTTTAGAAAACGGCGCCACATAATAAAAAATGGTGCTTTAGAAAATTACTATTTGCCGTCTTTAAAATTGAGAAGGCATGATTTAGGGCAACGTTAAATTTGACATTTCTCGTTAAATTTGACATTTCTTAGAGTAATGTGGCACTAGATAATGGATAGAAGTGCAGAAAAAGTTTCTTAGAGCAGTAGTATCAAACAGAAAAAATTATTGTTTCAGGAAACATCCTACTTGACAGCAATGATTACAAACAAAAAAAATGCATCATTTTCTGAGAAATTGTTGTTGCATCTGCAGCATCGATGCCAAACATATACCAAACAAGTATATGTTTGGTTCCGTTTACGTTTATTGATGCCACATAGATGCCCCGTCAGCAAATGCCTCATTAATTGCATTTGCATGTATCGATGTTTGCAAAAGCACCGTGCGCCTCTCTAATTTCAGGAAAATTCCTTTTGGAGCTTCCTAAAACGAGTAGGTGTTTATTGGCATTTTGCTGATGTGGTGCCTAATGGCGCCTATGTGTCATAAACGCCCATCATTAATTGCTTTACTCGGTTTTGCAATCACACAAGTACAAAACGTTTACTCAATAAACGTAAACGAAAACAAACACCCCACAAATAAATGGTAGAAAACTGAAACGCTTTGATTTTTGTGCATGGGGCATTTGGGGAAACGTCAAATTCATGTTTCCCCCAATGCCCTAGTGTTGCTTGAAACTAAATGCTGATGAGGCAAACTTTAATGGGTATTAATTTGAGGTGGAGAGTAAAAAATGTTTAAAGTGAACCCCAACCAAACAACAAATACAAAAAACGTTTAAAGTGAAATAAAGTGAAAATGTACAAATTAACGACCTATCCCTAAATGCCCACAGAACCAAACACATACATAAACAGCTTCGAAGTTTGGAGAATAAACCTAGAAGAAAAAGGAGCGATTGTGGTTCGAGCGATGGGATGGACTAAACTGGATTATTTGCCACCTGTCCCATGTACCCGCTATATCATTAGAATAGAGACTATGTTGGTTTGAAAGAAAAGGTAGAGAAATATATGAAAATTCTATGAGGGAAAGATAAGGAAACCAATACGAACCAAACACATCCTAAAGTTATATTTCTAAGCCCGACCAACCAATACAAGTTTCCCTTCCTTTTCCAACCTTTTCTTTAAAACCAAGCTAGCACATACTTAAATTATGTTTAGGGAAAATTTCTTAAATTATCCCTACTATTTAGCTAATTAACAAACAGTACCCTTATTGTTTAACTATTGTCTTAAACCTCTTCTCCTATTTTTGACAATTGTCTAAAACCTTATTGCCATTAACATATGCTAATAGAAAGACAAAAAAGACTATTTTACCCTTATTCTCTTTCAAAATTTCAAAATAAAACAAAAAAAGGCGGGAGAGAGAATACAGGAAAATAGGTATATTAAATCGATGTTGATGATGTATGCAGACATGATCATAATTGATGTTGATGGTTGTCAACAGCCAATTTTTGCTCAATCCCTTCACCCAACATCTTCATACCCTCCTTTTAGACTCCAAAACTTGGAATCACAACCAAATCAAATTGAGACTTTATAAAGCCAAAAATTCCTCTTTTGACACAATCTACAAGACAAATGAAAACCTTGAGATCAACATCGACATCTATTCAAATATGGCCTACAAACTTAGGAAATTATAAATTAGCCACACATCCACCATTCATCATGACAACATCATTTATAACGATCCTAATCCAATGCATCCATTGCCTCAAGATCATTCGGATATAATCAACTAGTGAATCCCACTACAAGTCTACAACAATCAACCTTGAAAGCGTCAAAGTTCCATTTCGACGACCCTAATTTAAAAAACCTAGATTAACCATTTCTCGTTTAGATCAAAACCATTCACTTGACTCATCACCTTAATTCGTGTTTATCCGTCAAATTTCATTCTAAAACTCCTCTATTTGACCCACCACCAAGCTTACATCCTATTTCAACAAACCTCATTGACTAGAGCTTATCATTCACCATCCCAGCTTCATTTGATTGATTAGACCTCACCACTATGTTTAGAGACCCAAAAAACCCCGCATCAAATTTCATAACCAAACTTCTCCATTGAAATGTTAAAAATGTGAGATTCCACTTCGAGCCATCTTGTTAATTGATAAACCATTGACCCAAATTAAATCTAACGATCCACACTTTTGATCAAAGATCCATCACTTCCATCAGATTCAAGACATTCAAAAATGCATATCCACCAAATTTCATCCAAAAATTCTCACATTTAACCATTTATCAAACAAACTTTCTATTTTAGTAAATCTCGTTGGTCCAAATTTGTCAGCCATAAATTTCCATAATCTCGACCCTATTAGGCCAATCATACCTCACCACTATGTTCAAATACCCAAAAAACCCCAGCACGTCAAATTTCATGTCCTAATTCACCCATTTGACCGTTAAACTAGGAATATGTCATTTCGATGCACCAGATTGAATCACCACCTCATTTATCCCAATCTGAAACCTCAAAAGTGTGATGGCTGATGTCAGACTCATTTTTGACCTGATCAAACACTTGGACCCGTGAAATTAAGCCTAATAGACCCAAAAAGCTCAAAAACCCAAAGATACCCCCACTTAAAACTAAGAAAAGAGAAAACCACTTTTAAAAGTTCATCAAATTTACATTTTCCACTACTAACAGCCCCAAATATGAGACTACCATGACAGGCACGCCTCGAACTCCCATTGGACGCACAAAACCCATGAAAACCACCCCCAAATCGTAGAAAACCTTTCACCAAAGAATAAGGCTTGACCGAGCACCATTTTCTTTGAAAAATCTTTACCCATTTTTGTAAAAATGTTGTTTTCAAGCCCAGGTCCTTTGATTAAACGAATTTCAAAACTCTCCCCCTTCTACTGATCCAACTCAAACTCAAAAGAGGGGGGGGGGATCTAAAGAGAGGAAAGACAAAAAAAAGAGCCAAAAAAGCATTCCCAACTCCTATAGATGCTCCATTCGTGAGAAAACCCCCCAAACATTTGAACCTGAAATTCCGAATCCACTCACCATGTGATAGATCTAAAATTGGCATAGCATATCCAAATTTCCAACTACCTAAAAGCTCTTCCAAGATCATTCAAGCTCTCTCTTCGTTTAGTTTAGCTATAGGAATCTCAATAACAAGGAAACATACGAGAGGTAAGCCTTTCACTACATTTGTAGCTCGAGCTTGTCTTTTATAGGTTGTTTGAAAGTTCTAAGACATTGGAGAACCATTGCTCTCAACTTCTTCTAGACTGAGCATAGAGGTAGAGAGGTGAGGGTCTTAGGGAAGTTAGTACCTAAGACCCGATAACATCGCCTCAAAATTAATCTTAAGAGAAGTTGAGAGCATGTTTCTCCAAATTTCAGAAATTTCAACAACTATTTTTGTTGTTTTTTGCTGAAATAGAGCCTAGACAACTCCTATATTAGGCTACTACAACATCTTGGAGTGAGGGGTGCCTAAAACCTTCTCTCTCCCAATCCTTAGGATCCAAAATCTCACAGTTAGGTGTCTTTTCTAGCGAAGAATGGAGTCACTATCAAAGGAAGTAAATCAATTTTTGAATCTAAAAATGAGGGTTTGTTTTCTCTAAAAATGGGTGGTGACTCCATTTCTTTGAGCCGCCAATGAGCTTCCTGGAGCTCACAATGATGTATGCAGAAATGTTGAATCACCTAGGAATTGAAAAGGCCATGTTCTTGCACAAGGCTATCATTCTCTCAACAGTTTTCTTTGGCGCTTGCCTCCCACGATTGTATGGCTTCAATCAAACATATGGTGTTCACCTCAAACATCCACAGAATATTTTAGGAGAGCTGGGATTACAAGGCTTCCCTCTTTGAACCCATGATTGCAAGGCTTCCCTCTCTATGTAGTTTTCTCTGGCACTCACCTCAAACATCTACAAGAGGACACTATGTATTGGCGTCTGAGTATTGGCACAGAAAATCACAACTCCGGTTTTGTAGGGTTTATAAGCTTATTTCGCTGTAAAGGAGAACTACGTTGCAATTGTGCCCTTTTGCTCTAACGTGTGACGATAGGATTCTGGGTTTCAGTGTTGGTTGTCTAAGTATTGGCGTAGAAAATCACAGTTTTGTAGGGCTGATAATCACAGAAACCAACGAGTAGAATGTCGCCGACGGCAATCCATACCTTCTTTCCTCCCCTACCATTGCCATTGCAACTTAGCAGCGAGCCTCCTTGGGATTGTGGAAGAAAATGAGAAAGAGGCTTCCAAGGTGGAAAGCACAACATCTCTCAACTGCGGATAGAAGTATACTTCTTCAATCGGTCTTATCATCCATTCCGACGTAGACTATGCAAACCACTTGAGTTAGGATTCCATTCTGCAACCCCATCGACAACCACCTGCTCTTGAGGTTTTTCAAGAACAAGGTGGATTCCGGTGGGGGAGACGGAGATGAAATTAGAGATGGACTGCACTTAGACGAGAGGGTATTTTTAGAATTTTTGAAAAATATAGCAATCACGTGATGTCACATGTGATAGAATGTAACAAAAAGTTCACGATAAGGGTACTCTAAGACAATTGTCAAAAACTTAGGGGTACTCTAAGACAATATATAAATACCAAGGGTGGAGTTAGTCAATTAGCTAAACCATAAGGGTGGTTTAAGAAATTTGCCAAGCCTGGCCCAGCACAAGATCACTCCTACAAGACCTGATGTGGCTGAACTGAATTCCCATTGCGTTGTATTTATTTGCTATATTTATTTTTGTTTAATATGATGAATATAGAAATGTTTCCAAATGTTTTCTACAATTTTTTGTATTTTTTATATTTTGTGTGTTTTCTTCTTTTTTTTTTACAAATTTTATTATTATTTAATTGTAC